GACAGGGTGTGCCTGCCCCGAGACGTGGTCTCTCCACTGACCTCCTGGGCTTGGGAAAGCTGGGCAGTGGGTAAGACGGACCCGAGGAGAACTGGCTGGTGTGCACGTCGGTGTTGGTGCCGGGTAGGAAGCGTGCCGTGGACTGCCGAGCGAACAGACCTGCTTTGGAGGAAAGACCGCCCGGGAGGCTCCGTAGCAGCAAGGATGGCGAGCCTGCACCTCACTGGCCCAGTCCCTGGAGAAGGCTGTCAGTCTCGGTACATCAGCGAGGCAGTAAAAGCGACAGAGACCCTCGACAGAGCCCCTGAATCTCCACAGCAGCTGCATCCGTGGGTCCGAGCCCTGCTGCCATGGGGAGGGTGGCGCAGGGCCGGGCCGAGTTCCGTCCTGATTCAGAGCTGTCTGAACACAGCTAACAACAGCAGAGGCGCTGGGAACCTGAGAGACGGGCATGAGGTGGAAGTAGCTCTTTGACATCAGAAGATGCTGTCAAGTCTGGCTTGTCACTGGGCTTTCTTTTTTTTTCTTTTCTTTTCTTTTTTCCCTCCCCACCCCTGCTCACTGGGCTTTCAACAGTTTCCTTCTGTCTGGCACTTCTGTGTGGGATGCAGAGATCCCACCTGGAGCCCCGCACCACGCGGTGAAGCAGCACCTAGCCACAGCATGTGGTGTGCCCAACTCCGAGCGCCAAGGGTGGGGGCCGCCCCGTGTGGGCAGCAAGGGTGAGCTGCTGGGGATGAGGACAGTCAAAGTAGGTACCTGGCCAGTTCAGGTGTGCGGGCCCATCCTTTTTGGTCTGTTCGCCATAGGTGGAGCCATCACCACGGTCAGATTCGAAACACTTTCATCCTTTCAAAAGAAACCCCAGTGTAGCTAACCCCCTTGCCGTGGGTTGAAGTGTATCCCCACAGTGTGTGTCAGCTGGCTGTGCCGTGAGTCTCAGGGGCATAACAGTGACGTGTGTAATGGTGGGCTTTGGGGGTTACGCAATGTTATCATCTGCCATGATGATTGGCCAGCAGGTTGCAAGGGGATTTGGGCAGGATTCAGTCCCCTTTCTGGGGTCACAGCCCTGATCTGGTGAAAGGGGACTTTCCCAGGGATATGCCTGCATCACCTTTTACCGTAGAGGAGATAAAAATGAGAGAAGCAGAGAAGCTGAGACCTGACTACCATCCCGGAGGGAGGTGTGGGGCACATCCTTTGGACCCAGGGTCCCCGTGTTGAGAACCTTCTAAACCCTGGGAAGACGGTTGCCAGGACACGTGGGGCTCTCCAGGGAACAGAGCATGAAGGAGGCCAGCACCTTCCCAGAGAGCTAAGAGAAAATGCCTTCCCGTGGCTCTGGCCCCCT